GGTCTGGGATGGGAGGGGGATGGGGTATAGGTATGGAGGATGGAGATGGGGTAGGGATGGAAGGCGGGGGGGTTGGCTGTGGGCAATGGAGCCCTGGGATAAGGACTAGAGGCCCGGATTACCCATCGGGCTCTTTCCTGTGTGACCCAAATCTGGTCCTCAGTAGGGCATGGGATGTGTAGAGCTGGGGGCTCCCCCGTGGTTCTTGTCTCTCTGTTGAGCTCTGTCTGCACGGAGCCTGTCCCTGCTCCACAGTGGGAGCTCACTTGCCAGATGGAAGGGCACATCTGGCATGTTGCTGCCCTGCAAAGACAGGCAGGGCCTGGGCTCAGAGAGTGGGGAATTCTTGCCCTGCCTGGCTGCTCGCACGTAACCCAGACCCTGTCCCTCGCTAGCGAGCAGGTTGTCCAGGAGCACCGGGAATGAAGGGGATTCATTTGGAGCTGGGCCCCATTTTACTGGTTGTGTTTTGTTTTCGGTTATACACGAGGCCCACAATCCCGCAGAGCCCTTCCTGACAAGCCTCTTCTCCGCAGCCCCCTGCTTGCTGCCAGGAGAGCTCCGAACTCTGCACACAAACCAACTATTGTATTGGCGGGTGGGGCAGGAGTAGGAAGGGTGCGGGGGATGGAACTGGTTGACGATTGAAGGACACGGGCAGGAGGGATGACACCATAAATCAGCTCTCACTGAATCAATTGCTGCATGTTGCTCCAACCCGTAGTGAAGCCATGCCACCAGTCCCCCTAAGGCTTGTCTATGCCACTCTGGCAGTGCAGATGTGAACTGAATGCATTACTTTAGCAATTCAGATTTTGAAACCTATGTGCAATCCATGCCATGGGACACTTATTTCATTTCAAGTGGTGTAAGTCACACAGGAAACCTGGACTGCAAACATCCAACCTCCATCACGTGTGGTTCGGGCTTCACAGACTAGTTGTCTGTGCCTCAGCAGAGTATGAGCAGGACAGAATCATGACAAATCTAGGCTTAAAAGACTCCTGAGTCATTGAGTCTGATCTGTCCCTGCACTCAAAGCTCTATAACCGTCTGTCGCCCCACTCTGGAATCTCTCTGCATTGCCAAACTCTGGAATCTCTCTGCATCACTGGGAGCTTGGTCACCTCCCAGGGGAATCTGTTTCACTGCTTTGGGTGCTCTGGCTGTTACAAACTTTGTTTGCATGTTGTGACAATAAGCCAGACGTGGTTCATGAGGGCTAGCCTCTGGTGGGCTGCCAGTGCTTTATTTACCTGCATGCCTGCAGGCATAGCTCCTTGCAGCTCCTGTTGGTCATTCCCATCCAATGGGAGCTGTGGGAAACAGTGTCCCAGTGCATGCCACTTCCCACAGCTCCTATTGATTGCTAGGTCGGGGGTGGAGCCAGTTGCGTATTGTAATGTTGAAAGGAGCCAGTAGATATTAACCCATCCCTGGTTGCTGGCAAAGGGGCTGTGTTTTGTTCAGAGATTATGAAGAGAAATCAGAGCAGGGCAGGTGGGCCAGAAGGACCCAGAACACCCTCCGAAAGGATGTTATGACAGAGAAATGTTCCCTTTTGACTGAGGAAGAAACGGAGGAACAGTTCCTCAGTCAAAAGGGAACATTTCTCTGTCATAACATCCTTTTGGAGAATATTCTGGGCCCCTCTGCTGTGATGTCTGGGTTGCCTCATTTCTATGTACCAATGCATTAAAAAGGAGCCCTTCTGAACGGCAGATCCTGTTCCTCACTCAACAGTTGCAGAACCTTGCCTGTGTCTTAACTTTTTTACTTGAATTAAAGCTTCCCTCTTCACCAACTATGACAGAGGAAATAACATATGCAGACCTGGAATTTAATAAATGCTATGCACTGGAAAATATCCCAAAGCCTGCTGCTCCTGAGGAAAAAGGTACAATCTTTATGTAGTTATTGCACTTAAATTAGCTAGGCTGAAAAATGTTCACAACTTGATCTTAGGCAGAATGCACCAAATTCACTCCTGTAAGCCACTCTTCTCAATAGAGTCACACAAGTGGTTTTACTGGGATTAGTACAGAAGCATGCACAGTGCTTTCAAAGCATGGACGGAGATGTTGTCTCTCCTCACATGATTTTATCATGTAGGGACCCGCTCCTGCAAATGCTAACTGCTGGGTGCAGTACTACTTACCCTGAGTAATGCTACTGAATTGATTAGGGCTGCCCATAGCAGTGAGCACTGTGCAAGGTAGCAAGTGTTTGAGGATCAGGCTCTGGAGTAGAGTTTGACAGTCTGGAGGACACGTTGTGTCACCAGTTCATAATGAATTCATTGGAGATTTCTGTAGAATCATCCATGGCATGATGTGGCCCTAGGTTAGGATTTTATAGTTGCCAAACTCTGGTTCACAGGAAAATCTTTGTTCTTTTTCATGTTGGACTGCTCCTGGTTGCTTCTTAAAATGATGAAAGGTCTAGAAAACATGAGCCATGAGGGAAGGCTGAAGGAATTGGGCTTGTTTAGTTTGGAAAAGAGAAGACTGAGAGAGGACCTGATAGCAGCTTTCAGGTATCTAAAAGGGTGTCACAGGGAGGAGGGGGAAAATTGTTCTCCTGGGTCTCTGATGATAGGACAAGAAGCGATGGGCTTAAATTGCAGCAAGGGAGGTTTAGGTTGGACATTAGGAAGAACCTCCTACCTTTTAGGCTGGTTAAACACTGGAATACATTTCCTAGGGGGGTTGTGGAATCTCCACCACTGGAGATATTCAACAGCAGGTTAGACAGACACCTGTCAGGGATGATCCTGAACAGGGGTGGGTGTGACATAGAGGGGACTATATTCACTCTTGTAGTCACCGTATTCACTCTGATTTTGTATTCACTCTGTTTGCTTTGTTGTGTCATATGTGACTCTACTGTCCTGTGCTGTTCTGTAGTGACTCTGTGTGTGTGTGTGTGTGTGCGTGTGCGTGTGCGCGTGCCTCAGTTTCCCTGGGCACTGCAATGCTATCTGCATGAGGAGGGGAGGCTGGGCATGACTCACAGTCTCTCATATCCTGAGGACCAGGGGACAGCAGCTAACACCTTGCCCAGGAATCTGAACAAAGGAGGGGGCAGAGCTGCCTAGAGGGCTGGGACCAGTTACTGGGTGTGTGAATTCATTTTTCTGCTGGCTTCAGGAGAAGGGAGTCTAGCTGGATTGGGGGGCTGGGCAGTGGTCCAGTGCCCTGCCTCTGGGCCCCCTTTCCCTAGGATAGATTGTACTGGATGCTCCCGGTTCCTGTGCTACCTTGTGTCTCTGTGAACCAATAAACCTTCTGTTCTTCTTCCTGGCTGAGAGTCACTTCTGATTACCGATGGAGATTCAGGGCCCAGTGACCCTCCCCCCACTCTGTGACAATGGGCAATAATTTTTAATGGGGGCCACTCCAAGATTTTGTCACGTGGTCAAAAGTCACACTTCTATGGAGGGGGTGTAGTGTCTGAAATGGAGGTTGGGTGCAGAAGGGAAATTAAGATAGGCGATTGGGGTGCAGGAGGGGGGAGCGGTCTGAGAGGGAGTTTGAGTGAATGAGGGGGCTGTGATCTTGGGCAGTGACTTGGGGTGCACAGTCCAGTAGGGGAATGGGTGCAGGAGAGGATTCTGGGCTGGAGGAGGGGCTCTAGAAGGGGGTGCAAGGTTTTTGAGTGAGTTGTGATCTGGGAGAAGGGGGAAAAGAGATACAGAGGGTTTGGGGGGGACTGGAGCAGGAAGTCAGAGGGGAGAGATGGGGTGAGATGCCAGAGGCAGGCTCTGGCTGGGAGGCGCTTACCAGCAGAAACCTGAGTTAGACTGTCTGGTGCAGGCTGCTCGCTACTCCATGTGGCTTCGCTCCGGGCATCGGGAGGGGGAGGGAGAAGGCTTCCCACATTGCCTTTGCTCCCAGCAAAAATTCTCAGCTCCTATTGATCAGAAACTCAGAGATTGGCCAATGGGAGCTGAGAGATTTTGCTGGGGAGTGAGAACAGCATAAGAAGTCTCCCTTCTCCTTCCGCAGCTGTCCAGAGAAGAGAGCAGCTGGCTTTTTAAAGTATGAGCTACTCTCCACCTAAGGGTTCCAGCGAGATGGCTGCAGGCCAGATCCAGTGGCTTGGAGGGCCGGCAGCAGCCTCTTGTGCCTCTTGCTTCCCGATCTAGACAATGCTTGGTCCTGCCGTGAGGGCAGGGGACTGGACTTGATGACCTCTTGAGGTCCCTTCCAGTCCGAGTGTTCTATGAATCTTTCTCATGGGAGATTGTAACATTTGGTGACAAACAATAACTTGCTTTCATGATATGGAGCATTTTCAGTGACTTCATGTGAGAGAGTAAACACAGAAGCTACATCTACACTGGCATGATTTTCCGGAAATGCTTTTAACGGAAAAGTTTTCCATTAAAAGCATGTTCGGAAAAGCACATCTAGATTGGCAGGATGCTTTTCCGCAAAAGCACTTTTTGCGGAAAAGCGTCCGTGGCCAATCTAGATGCACTTTTGCGCAAAAAGCCCCGATCGCCATTTTCGCGATAGGGGCTTTTTTGTGGAAAACAAATCTGAGCTGTCTACACTGGCCCTTTTGCACAAAAGTTTTTCGGAAAAAGACTTTTGCCCAAACAGGAGCAGCATAGTATTTCCGCAAAAGCACTGACAATCTTACATGAGATCCTCAGTGCTTTTGCAGAAATTCAAGCAGCTAGTGTAGACAGCTGGCAAGTTTTTCCGCAAAAGCAGATGATTTTCCGGAAAAACTTGCCAGTCTAGACACAGCCAGCCAGAGAAGAGGGATATACTTGAAAGTCATAGTTCCCTTCTAAAAATACGCCAAGGGCACATTAGTAAGGGTACGTCTAAACTACATGGCTCCGTCGACAGAGCCATGTAGATTTGTTTTTTTGGCAAAGGCGAATGAAGCCGTGATTTAAATGATCACGGCTTCATTTAAATTTACATGGCTGCCGCGCTGAGCCGACAAACAGCTGATCAGCTGTTTGCCAGCTCAGCGTGGCAGCCATGTAAATTTAAATGAAGCCGCGATTATTTAAATCGCGGCTTCATTTCCCTTTGCCGATCTGTCTAA